GTCAGTGCAGAGGCAGAAAAGGATCTTGGAATCATTATTGATGCCAAAATGAACATGGGCCGACAGCGTGGGGACGCAGTCAGGAAGGCCAACCGTACCTTGTCATGCATCCACAGATGCATCTCGCGCAGGTCCAAGGAGGTGATCCTCCCCCTCTATGCAGCACTGGTCAGGCCACAGTTGGAGTACTGCATCCAGTTCTGGGCGCCGCACTTCAGGAGGGATGTGGACAGCATTGAGAGGGTTCAGAGGAGGGCCACTCGCATGATCTCGTAGGGCCTGCCCTGCTGCCCCCTGGAGAAGCTACGGGACCTGAACCTATTCATCCTCCACAAGAGAAGGCTGAGGGGGGATCTAGTGGCCTGTTACAAACTAGTCAGAGGGGACCAGCAGGCATTGGGGGAGTCCCTGTTCCCCCGAGCACTACCAGGAGTGACTAGAAATAACAGTCACAAGCTGGCAGAGGGTAGATTCAGACTAGACATCAGGAGGTGCTACTTCACTGTCAGGGCGGCTAGGACCTGGAACCAACTTCCAAGTGAAGTGGTGCTGGCTCCTACCCTGGGGGTCTTCAAAAGGAGGCTAGATGAACACCTTGCTGGGGTCGTTTGACCCCAGTACTTTTTCCTGCCATGGCAGGAGGTCGGATTTGATGATCTGCTCGTGTCCCTTCCGGCCCTACCAACTATGAAACTATGGATCGGTATTGACCGACGTGCCTTATTAAAAATCGGCTATCAGTATCGCCCCCCAAAATCTCTATCAGTGCACCCCTAGTTTCTCAGGACTGCAGTTGTACGTGGCGCATGGGCCCCTCACCAACTGAAACAAATCTAACAACCTAACCTAACCTGTCACAAGGGAAGCCAGAGAACCACGGCAGCCCATGTCTGCTTCTATGAAACGTGGTTAATATACACTCCAGAAGGCCCAGGTAGAGGGAAGCAGCCCTGCTACAGAGGAAAGCAAAAGCCCCCGCAGTTGATGCCAACCTGGCTATAGGGAAACATTTCAAACTGAAAGGGGAGAAGACTTCCCCCCACACACACTCCCTTCTCCTGTTCTTCCTTGTGGTTCTTGTTGTCTCTTGTGCTGGTTCAGAACAGCCCCTGCCAGGAACGGGAATTGTTACAACTGGAGCTGTTTGTCATGCTATCTCCGTGCAAGGTTTAATGTAAAAAAACCTGAAACTGTTTGTTTCAGTTAGTGAGGAACCCATGTGCCAGGTACAACCGCACAACCTTCTTGTGCCTGATGCAGGAAACTCTCTCTCTAATCTCCTTTCCTTTTTGGCTTCCAAAGGGAGCTAGAGCCTACTGTGCGGGCCGGGCGCGACCCGAGCCCTTTTCCGTGCTGCACGCGGGCTGTGGCCAGCAGCCCGGGCACGCCAGGTCGGAGAGGGAGGGCGTCAAGCTGGAATTAGGCACAAACGCTTAGCGGTAGTTTAAAAGATTGTTTACTTACACCGAGATGGCAGTGGTGTAGGCTGGAAAACTTGCTTGAGTTGCGGTTACAGACACAGACAACACGGACAATCACGTGGAGTTTGCTAGGCTCCACGGAACAGAGCTCCGGATGCTCTGGGTGAATGCGCCACCAAAATCAGAATCGTAGGTACGTCTTATAAAAGTTGCGATCGAAGACGAGAAGAGGTGGGCGATGGATCAGGTCACCAAGCTCCTCTGAATCTCACACAGGGTCTCTATTACCCTGCTGTGTATCCAGAGTCCCCACGAGATGGATGTGGAGTCCTCTTCAGGTTGGGCAGAAACTGCTCAAGCCTCTTATACGGCTAACAGGCCAATCGCTAGCTGCCATGTGGGAATAATTTAAAATTAGCCAATAGCGGGGAACGAATTTGCATACCAGTGGCGGGAACCCTTTTGCACCGTGCATTCCTTTTGCAACTCAAGCAATGCACTCTGCAAAAGAAGCTGCAGAAAGGCGGGAAACTCGTCCCTGCACCAGGGTTTCCCTCTGCAACAGGAAACTCTCTCGTGCAATGAAGCTGCAACTTGGCGGGGATAATTCTGATGCCGAAGCACACACAAAATCATGTCTTTGGGTCATGACACCTACCAGTGGAGCTACTGAAGCACATACCAGCATGGGGCCTTGTGCAGTCGGTTCCTGCCTCTAGCTTGTAATGACTCAAAACTGATGAACCCCAGAGCTAAACTAATTGAAAGTAGTTTGTTTAAAGACCACATGTTTAATTCTACATTAATCTGAAAGTGACCAAAGGGCATTGTCATACAAGCATTATTCCTCTGTCTTGGGTAAAGTACTTTAACATTTCTAAAGGTCTGAAAGTTCATTTCCCTCAAATTGCCATCAAAGTATGGTTGGTTAGTTTGTGAGAGGTCAATGAGGGAGTGGTTTTTAAGTGGGTGTGTGTGTTATTATATATGTGTCTTATGAAACCTGATTTTGCTTTAGAAAACAAAGTGCTGAGCATCCAGCAGCTCCCACTGAAGTTCAGTTTAGGATTGTTTTGTTTGTAGAATTAACTTGAACTCTCACTTGGACAGGATGGAGGTGAGAGGGTAGTACCACATTCATAAACCTTTGACGTTTAGTACTTCTGTGAGCTTGGGGTTGAATGGGGCTGTGGACCAAAGCTGAGATGTTGTTGCCAGTTGTGCTGGTAACCAACCCACTTTTAAGGCTAAGCTAATGAAAGTCTGGCAGTCCTCAGTGCCACCCCACAAATTTCACATGCAAATACATGAAAAGAATGGGGAAGAAGCCTAGACCTGCTTGATTTACTGCAGCCATGGAATATTTATTCACAAGTCATAGCAAGATGCATGGTTGAATGCAGCACTAGAAAGGACACAAGTGAAGAGCATGGAAAGTGAATTAACTCAATTTTCATCTTGTAGTATGGTTCAGATTCCAGGTGAGGACTGCCAGAGTTAATTATCCAGTGAAGACGTATCTGCACTATTGCTTTGAACATTTTGCTTGGGAGACTAGTGAAAGCATTTGAAAGAGTGCTTTCCCATGTTGCTCAGATTGGTAACTGGTTTGTATTTAGGTCAGGGGTGTCAAACTCATCTGGCCTCACAGGCTAAATATGGGGAGCAGGCCTGGTCTGCAGGCTGGATAGGGTCCACAGACTGGCCTTGCATGCCAGATCCAACATACAAGGCCAGTGTGATTTGGATACTATGTACAGTGTGCCGCTTGCAGTTCACAAACTGATTTCAGCCTTTGCACCTGTATGCTGTATGCACCAGCCTCACATGCAGCTCATAGGGCAGGTCTGGGTTAGGCACAGGGCCAGTCTGGGGCATGTGCTGCATGTAGCACCTATACCACACTGGGCCCACAGACTGGCTCCACTCTGGACTGGTCCTGGCTCCAGCGTGGAGGGCCAGACTGGCATGGGCACTGCATGCAGTACATAGCCCAGACCAGCCCCACACTCTGGATTCAGCATGTGCAGCTGGTCTGTGGGCCTGATCCAGACTGGCCCAGATCCAGCATGCAGGGCTGGTCTGGTGTAAGCACCACATGCGGACATACCCTACTGACCCCTTGTGATGTGTGCATGCTGGCTGCAGCCCCTGCTGGCTGCAGCCCATGCCAGATGGGCTCCACATGCAGGGGTGGGACTGGTGCATGCTACGGGGATCTAGTGGCCTGTTACAAACTAGTCAGAGGGGACCAGCAGGCATTGGGGGAGTCCCTGTTCCCCCGAGCACTACCAGGAGTGACTAGAAATAACAGTCACAAGCTGGCAGAGGGTAGATTCAGACTAGACATCAGGAGGTGCTACTTCACTGTCAGGGCGGCTAGGACCTGGAACCAACTTCCAAGTGAAGTGGTGCTGGCTCCTACCCTGGGGGTCTTCAAAAGGAGGCTAGATGAACACCTTGCTGGGGTCGTTTGACCCCAGTACTTTTTCCTGCCATGGCAGGAGGTCGGATTTGATGATCTGCTCGTGTCCCTTCCGGCCCTACCAACTATGAAACTATGGATCGGTATTGACCGACGTGCCTTATTAAAAATCGGCTATCAGTATCGCCCCCCAAAATCTCTATCAGTGCACCCCTAGTTTCTCAGGACTGCAGTTGTACGTGGCGCATGGGCCCCTCACCAACTGAAACAAATCTAACAACCTAACCTAACCTGTCACAAGGGAAGCCAGAGAACCACGGCAGCCCATGTCTGCTTCTATGAAACGTGGTTAATATACACTCCAGAAGGCCCAGGTAGAGGGAAGCAGCCCTGCTACAGAGGAAAGCAAAAGCCCCCGCAGTTGATGCCAACCTGGCTATAGGGAAACATTTCAAACTGAAAGGGGAGAAGACTTCCCCCCACACACACTCCCTTCTCCTGTTCTTCCTTGTGGTTCTTGTTGTCTCTTGTGCTGGTTCAGAACAGCCCCTGCCAGGAACGGGAATTGTTACAACTGGAGCTGTTTGTCATGCTATCTCCGTGCAAGGTTTAATGTAAAAAAACCTGAAACTGTTTGTTTCAGTTAGTGAGGAACCCATGTGCCAGGTACAACCGCACAACCTTCTTGTGCCTGATGCAGGAAACTCTCTCTCTAATCTCCTTTCCTTTTTGGCTTCCAAAGGGAGCTAGAGCCTACTGTGCGGGCCGGGCGCGACCCGAGCCCTTTTCCGTGCTGCACGCGGGCTGTGGCCAGCAGCCCGGGCACGCCAGGTCGGAGAGGGAGGGCGTCAAGCTGGAATTAGGCACAAACGCTTAGCGGTAGTTTAAAAGATTGTTTACTTACACCGAGATGGCAGTGGTGTAGGCTGGAAAACTTGCTTGAGTTGCGGTTACAGACACAGACAACACGGACAATCACGTGGAGTTTGCTAGGCTCCACGGAACAGAGCTCCGGATGCTCTGGGTGAATGCGCCACCAAAATCAGAATCGTAGGTACGTCTTATAAAAGTTGCGATCGAAGACGAGAAGAGGTGGGCGATGGATCAGGTCGCCAAGCTCCTCTGAATCTCACACAGGGTCTCTATTACCCTGCTGTGTATCCAGAGTCCCCACGAGATGGATGTGGAGTCCTCTTCAGGTTGGGCAGAAACTGCTCAAGCCTCTTATACGGCTAACAGGCCAATCGCTAGCTGCCATGTGGGAATAATTAAAATGTAGCCAATAGCGGGGAACGAATTTGCATACCAGTGGCGGGAACCCTTTTGCACCGTGCATTCCTTTTGCAACTCAAGCAATGCACTCTGCAAAAGAAGCTGCAGAAAGGCGGGAAACTCGTCCCTGCACCAGGGTTTCCCTCTGCAACAGGAAACTCTCTCGTGCAATGAAGCTGCAACTTGGCGGGGATAATTCTGATGCCGAAGCACACACAAAATCATGTCTTTGGGTCATGACACCTACCAGTGGAGCTACTGAAGCACATACCAGCATGGGGCCTTGTGCAGTCGGTTCCTGCCTCTAGCTTGTAATGACTCAAAACTGATGAACCCCAGAGCTAAACTAATTGAAAGTAGTTTGTTTAAAGACCACATGTTTAATTCTACATTAATCTGAAAGTGACCAAAGGGCATTGTCATACAAGCATTATTCCTCTGTCTTGGGTAAAGTACTTTAACATTTCTAAAGGTCTGAAAGTTCATTTCCCTCAAATTGCCATCAAAGTATGGTTGGTTAGTTTGTGAGAGGTCAATGAGGGAGTGGTTTTTAAGTGGGTGTGTGTGTTATTATATATGTGTCTTATGAAACCTGATTTTGCTTTAGAAAACAAAGTGCTGAGCATCCAGCAGCTCCCACTGAAGTTCAGTTTAGGATTGTTTTGTTTGTAGAATTAACTTGAACTCTCACTTGGACAGGATGGAGGTGAGAGGGTAGTACCACATTCATAAACCTTTGACGTTTAGTACTTCTGTGAGCTTGGGGTTGAATGGGGCTGTGGACCAAAGCTGAGATGTTGTTGCCAGTTGTGCTGGTAACCAACCCACTTTTAAGGCTAAGCTAATGAAAGTCTGGCAGTCCTCAGTGCCACCCCACAAATTTCACATGCAAATACATGAAAAGAATGGGGAAGAAGCCTAGACCTGCTTGATTTACTGCAGCCATGGAATATTTATTCACAAGTCATAGCAAGATGCATGGTTGAATGCAGCACTAGAAAGGACACAAGTGAAGAGCATGGAAAGTGAATTAACTCAATTTTCATCTTGTAGTATGGTTCAGATTCCAGGTGAGGACTGCCAGAGTTAATTATCCAGTGAAGACGTATCTGCACTATTGCTTTGAACATTTTGCTTGGGAGACTAGTGAAAGCATTTGAAAGAGTGCTTTCCCATGTTGCTCAGATTGGTAACTGGTTTGTATTTAGGTCAGGGGTGTCAAACTCATCTGGCCTCACAGGCTAAATATGGGGAGCAGGCCTGGTCTGCAGGCTGGATAGGGTCCACAGACTGGCCTTGCATGCCAGATCCAACATACAAGGCCAGTGTGATTTGGATACTATGTACAGTGTGCCGCTTGCAGTTCACAAACTGATTTCAGCCTTTGCACCTGTATGCTGTATGCACCAGCCTCACATGCAGCTCATAGGGCAGGTCTGGGTTAGGCACAGGGCCAGTCTGGGGCATGTGCTGCATGTAGCACCTATACCACACTGGGCCCACAGACTGGCTCCACTCTGGACTGGTCCTGGCTCCAGCGTGGAGGGCCAGACTGGCATGGGCACTGCATGCAGTACATAGCCCAGACCAGCCCCACACTCTGGATTCAGCATGTGCAGCTGGTCTGTGGGCCTGATCCAGACTGGCCCAGATCCAGCATGCAGGGCTGGTCTGGTGTAAGCACCACATGCGGACATACCCTACTGACCCCTTGTGATGTGTGCATGCTGGCTGCAGCCCCTGCTGGCTGCAGCCCATGCCAGATGGGCTCCACATGCAGGGGTGGGACTGGTGCATGCTACATATGGTATCTGGGGTTGGTCTCAGACCCACACACAGCACTGTGGGCTGAGTGATTGGCTCCTGAGCTGTATCTTTGACACCCCTGATTTAGATGATTGTTTAATGTAGGGAGCTTCGTTTTTTTTCTTGTATGCTAGACCTGTCTATAAGCAGCAAGTTTTAAAATGATAAAACCAAATAGATATCTGCCACACGTATTTTAGTTAATGGATCTATAATGTGCAGCTTCTACCAGGTGTATAATTGAAAAAGTGATAGAGAGAAGGAACAAAGATTGCTATCCAAGTCCAAAATATTAAATGCATAACACTTTCCAAGTATGAAATTCAGGTGCTTTCAAGTTTTCTTTGTGTATAAGTTTCTCTTCCATTAGCTGGCTAACTGAAGTGCAAGTCTTCTGTTCTAATCACACAGAGCTTTTGGGGAAGTCTTAGCAAGATGAATGTTGCTTTGATGAATCTCAGGTCCATAGCAGTAGAGCTCTCTACCTACAGGTTAAAGTATCAAGAATTGAAATCCCCAACTCATAAGTGTTTCCACAAAGGTTGAAATTGTTTAGGAGATTTCAGCCCCCGTGTCTCTAGCAAGCACAACTTTGTTGTTTAAAAAAAGAAAAAGAAATATTTGATTGCAAATATTTCAAGGTCTGGAAGCTATCTGGCAAAGGAACCGTGTTTCTTTTTGTTGTACAATCCCACCCTACCTTGACTTATGTTGCACATCAACCTTTAACTTAGCAACTACAGTTTTCAAGAATACTAACAGAGGTCAAAAAAGTAAAGTGTAGGACTGAGATTTGTTTCGTACTGTGCAGATCAAGTGTGATTCACTGTAACAGTGGCATGCATTGTCTATTAAAATGTATATTAATTGCTAGACAATATAACTACGTATTTAAACTCGTGAGCGCTATTTACGTATCTGAGTTTCTTTCTTGTCACTTGGATAACTGAGGTATACGTTTCCCTCTTTAGTTATGTGATGCTTAGTCACTTACTTCATCTTACATAATCAACAGATTTTGTAACACCAAACTGAAGAGTTCATGAAAGTACACTATTTCAAATTGTCATAGGGTTTGAAACCAGGGATCTTCACTGTAACTACTGATCCCTGGGAGTGTTGTTCGATATTGGCATAGCACATTTAATAAACTTTGCTTGTGCATGTTTCACAGTATATTTCTATTTATTTTTGTCTACTTGTTTTGTTCTTAAAGTTGTTACAAGGTTGTTAGGATGATAGTGAAATGTTATATAGTACAGGGGAAGGGATTTAACCCTTTATCAGATCATTTCCAGTCTTGAGAATTGAGAGGATTCAATTATATCAGCTTCTGTGTAAATCAGACCCCTCTCATTTTTTTTTTTAAGCTAAAGTCTTTGAATAACCTTTTGGTTGGGACCCTAGCTATCATTTTTATGTAGTCATTTTTCTTTTCTGCTTTTCTACACTTAGTAGAGAAGGGTGTATGTGGAATGAGTTAGGAAACACACCAGTAAGTTATCCATTTCTATGCTATATAATATGTAACTGTAAATTTTACTGCAAGTATTAGGTTTGTGCTTTAATCATTGTACTTATTTTCTCCCCTAGAATCCAATAATCAACATGTCTAGCAAAAGAGCAAAGACAAAGACCGCCAAAAAGCGCCCTCAGCGCGCCACCTCCAATGTATTTGCAATGTTCGATCAGTCACAAATTCAGGAATTCAAAGAGGCATTTAACATGATTGATCAGAACAGAGATGGCTTCGTTGACAAAGAAGACTTGCATGATATGCTTGCTTCCCTTGGTAATGTTCTCTAGTTATAAAATTGTTGCTTTATTAACAGTTGTCTCAAATTATTCTAGTTGAATGAACGTAAAAAAAAATCACAAGTGAGAATTGTTATGAAAGGTATTTCAAATTACAGAATATTGTATAGGTTGATAAATGCCTGCCATGCTTTTTAAATTTAAAAAAATAATTTTTTTTTTACTTGTAGGGAAGAATCCAACTGATGAATACCTAGATGCCATGATGAATGAGGCTCCAGGCCCTATAAACTTCACTATGTTCCTTACAATGTTTGGAGAGAAGTTAAATGGCACAGATCCAGAAGATGTCATCAGAAATGCTTTTGCTTGTTTTGATGAAGAGGCAACTGGTAAGTGAACAAAATATCTGCTAGGATTGAACTGTAAAATCCTATCATCTAAACTTCATTTAGATGGATCTTTTTGGATTACAGGCTTATTTCTGCACTGGTTCAAGAGCTGTGTTAGTCTGAAGTTAGGCAACAGGCAGGGTAGAAATGCACCATATGGACAAGTTGGTCTATAGACAAGTTAGTCTGTAAGGGGCATCTTAACACTTTAAAAAAAAAAGACAAAAAGCAAAGTAAGGTTTCAGTAAATCGTCCAACTCCTGGATGACAAGTAGTAATAAGAATTTCATTTATTAAATGAGCAGAAATGAGCATTTCATGCCAGCAGTAGTCTCCTAGAATGGGCCCGGAGAATAATATATGTAACTAGGGAATGTACCAATTCCCCAGAGTGTAGTCAGAGATACAAATACAAGTGCTTGAGGAGGAGTTATGTGGCACAACAGGAGGCTGTTCAGGCAAAACCTTTTAGTATTCGAAAGGTAACTGAAATGTGAGGCTTGCTGTCTGAGCATAATGGACCTGGCCCCCTCTCCACTGCCAAACATGCAGGTCTTCCACATAGCCTGGAACTTCGACAGTATGGGATTTCAAAGAATGAGACATTTGTTGAGCTGCCTAGGCTTTTGTTCATGCAGTCATCTAGACTACAGTAATCCCTTCTCTGGCCTAGGTGCTGGTCATGTTGTATCATCTGATAATCCTCTCCCTGAGCTGTTGCTCTGAAATTATCCCCCACTTTGGGAATTCTGTGGCTTCTTAGCAAAGTGACAGATTCTTCAGCCACAGAATCAAAGTCCCAGGGTCTTGTTTGAGAGAATTAAAGAGGTCACACCTCTCAGAACTGTTTCAAAATTTCTGCCAACTCAGACAGAAATCCCTGCCTTGATTTGTGTTTGGTTTATTCTTTCAAAGTTGTTTATAAAGGTGGAAATTTACCATTTTTTCTTTTATTTTTCCAAATGAAAGCTGCAGTGTTACAGTAATAACTGACAGTAAGGAATGACTTCACAGCAAATTCTGCAGCTGTGATATTGCACTAGTCAGAATATAGGCTTCACTAGTCAGAAAACAAAACCCTGTAGTTATTTGAAAAGAAAGGTCTAGACTTCGTTAGCGTACTCTGTTCTGTACCACAGATGTTAACACACCTGTACGCTTATCTCAGATTGTCTACTATAGTATTTCAGTCTCATTTGTGGGTATGTACACTGAACATTTCAAAAGGTATTGTCCCATTTCAAATAGCTATTTTGAACTTTTTATATTTTTAGCATCTTCTAGAAGGAAGGATATCCCCTTCCTTCTACAGTCTTTTAAATAAACAGCCCTTCTTTTGTAAGGTCTTTTCAGATAGTAATTTACTTCTTCCTTCCTTAGGGAAATACTCTTGTTGTCTTCTACCCTGCCTGTTTGGTTGAGCTAATTATTTTGTCTGCACAGGTAGTCTTGGATTCATCATACCTGTAGTTCTCTGTGTATGCCAAAAGAGGTGTATGAATTAGGATGGAAAGAAAAAGTTACTTAGAATTGTTAGCATAATGATGCTAGTGTTATGGTGCTTCCTAGGTTATTGTAGTTGTAATAAATATCATCGGTTAGTTTGGAAGGTGATTCTAATTCAGACCATCTCTAATAACAAGACTGACTCTTGTTATCCTTAGATTTTCCTAGAGAAGTTTTTAATTTTATCTTCAATTTCTATTATAATGATTTTACAGCTTCTTCTAGCATTTTACACCAGATAGCAGATAGCTGTTTTGAGCCTGATCTGGCATAACGTTACTCTAGATTTTTATCAGTGTGGCTCCCTTAAGGTGACTAAGGCCAAGTTATGCAACTTGATTATGTTTCTGATGTGAACTAGAACTATGGCAGTGATGAATTCTATCTCTTCAATGTAATACAACTTTTTCTCTTTCCCAAGCAGTTTGTATTCTTTATCTTATCATTTCATTTATTTAAGCTATTGTAGCATAACTGTCAAATTAATCTAGTCTAATCTAATCTAATCCATCCAGGAAGAGCACACACCAACTGCTGCAGCTTCCTTAGCCTGACGAAGGGTTTTTGAACCCGAAAGCTTGCTTAATAACTATTCTCCAACCATTTGGGTTGGTCTAATAAAAGATATCAAATTCACCCAAGGAACCTTGTCAAATTAATCTAGAGTATTTATGATTAGCACAGGGAATTATATTTAATTGCACTGGCCTACTAGTTTCTCAACTGTCTCTGTTCTTTCATACATGCGCACACATCTTTTGTTCACTTCTGTGCCCCAGAATCAGTCTGAGGATTTTTTTTGGCTTGATGACTTATTCCATGTGTGTTAACAAGGCTTTTTTGGGTATTCTGTCAGTATGTTTTGAGTTCTGTTATCTCCCTGATATTCTTGATATCCCAGCACTGGGTATGGGGATGCCATACCCAGTTAGCTCCATAGGTTTGATTACAAACTGCCTACCCACGTGCAGTCGGTTTGAAGTGTTGTAGCCATGGTGACCCAGAAAATAAGCAAGACACATGGGTTTTGTGGTGATATCTTTTTTAGTGGCCCAGCTGTTACATACGTACTGGAAGTGTCTACAGGAGATATTTACTGCAGTTACCTAATTAGCTCCGCAGTAAACGTCTCGGAGTCTACACATGCAGCCCTATTAGGCCACAGGAAACAAATATACTCTGCAGTAGGATACTACTTATAAATGTATTTAGAAGTACTATTCTGCTGCAGAATTTTTTTACTCCGCAGCAGCACACTTGTAGATGTTGACAGGGCTGGCTGGGGCAGAATGGTGCTTCACTGTGGGGGCTGCCCGCTGGAGTACCCTCGTGCCCCAGCCAGCTCCTCTGCAGCACGTTGAGTTGAGTCGAGAAGCCCCAGGCTGGCAGGTTGAATCCCCAGGCCCTCTGCAAGCTGAGGCTGCTCCACCTGGCTCTACATGCTGTGGTCCTGGGTGTGAATTCAAATGGCACACCTGAGAGCAATAAACTCCAATATGGTATGCACTGGAGTTCATTGCTATGAATTGATTGCATGTGTAGACGTGCCCACTGAGGCACAGGCAGACAAAACACCTACCACCAAGAAGTTGAGCTTTCCTTGAATGCTAATCCCTATACCTTCTTCTGAAATGGACTTATCTTTATACACTTAGAACAAATGGTTGTCTTCAGTTTTTGGGTTGCTCAGT